TTTATTAACAGCCCGGAGAAAACATCAGCATATGTCTTCTGAGCAAAATACATGTTGTGGATACTTATAAAGCAGTGGGGTACACGCCCCCCCATGGCGTCACAGTGTGTGTGTGTGTGTGTACAAAGATAACAGAGTTATTCTCAGAACCCAGAGCTGAGGTTCCCCTTTTCTATGTGTATGTTCTAGAAGAGAGGAAGCTGCTAGTTGGTAAATAAGTTTATCATCACAAAAGTTATTAGGTGAAAAGTTACATAGACATTTGCTCAGTGATCCTAAAAGAATACATTTCATGTAGCTGATCACATATACACGATTTTCCTTTTACATATCTGTATGTGTAAGCCTAAATTATAACCTCTTATTCTAGAAATCAAAAAGAAATCAAACATTTTCTACTCCTAAAATCTTCGCTAGTTTTCCCCAAAGCATATCTTTTCTTCAAAGTGTCCCACAGTTTCCCTTTAAGTTTGGTATACAGCTTATTATGCACACCGACATTTCTTCTACACAGGATTTAGTTCATTTTAATCCTTTAACTTAAACCTGAAAATAACAATTTCTGCCTCAGTTTTACAATATCTATATTATCAAAAAACCCCAAACGTCAGAAAATGATCCTGAAACCCATTTCAAATTAAACCTTAAATCCCCCTTTTTTGACACATCTTATGTGTCACAAACTCAAAATGCTTCACCCGATCTTAGGAAATTAAAAGAAAAGGTTAGTCATATCATTTCTCCAAACACCTCAGCAATCCTCCTCTCAGGTATATCTGCTCCGGCCCTGCAAACTTGTGTTTAAGGAATGAAATCAATTTAATCATCATGTCAAGTCTTTTCAAACTCCTGGCTCCATCAACAGCCTGCATCCTTGGAACTTCCTAGAAACAAAACCTGTATGTTAACCCCAACTTCACATTTCATACTCAGTTTTCCCCATGATCCAATCTGTGTTATAAAAAAGAAAACTTAAAACAGAACAGTTATCAGTCATGTGTTTCTTCAGTTCATGGTAACATGAGTTATATCAAAAATGTTTTCCCTTTACCATTCGGCATTATCCCAACAATATAATGTAATACCATAATCTAACCCCAGTCAATAAAACAGAAACTTTCTCAAAGCAAACATCAGCAACCCCAAATCAGCATCCCCAGAATTAAGTCTTCCACTTCTCCTGCTCATGGCAAAAGCAAAACAAAACAAAGCAAAGTATCCCCTTTCTCTTTCTGGCATGGTAAATTGTTTGTCCACATTTATTCATCCCAATCTTAGTCCGGTCACACCCATTCACTCACACGCATTCACACCAGGTATTGCTGATAGTGGAGACTCCCGCGCAAATAATCAGATTCTCCCCTCTCAGCAACATGAGCTCATTCATTTGTTTTACTTTTTTCTAGGAAAATGGTTCTTTATGCTTTTGGACTGGATTGGCTCGCGGCAATCCTTTTAGACAGGGACTTTCAATCTGATCAGGTCCCCACCGGTAGCCTTCTCCTCAGCCAGTTGTAATCTGGAAA